GGAGGTCTCAACGTTCGACCGGATTACGCGCCAAAAACAACACGCGGGAATAATCGGGAATTCCAGAATGGATGGAACGGGGAACGGATAAAAACTTTCGGACCACTCTTTTATGGGAGTGTGCACATTAAGTCGTGACTTTGTCGGGAGTCGGTTGGTTTGACTCTCACGCCGTGGTTCATCGTGCATGTAGCTCCGAATCGAAATCGAGACGACCACAAATAAAGTGCAAAGTATATCTCAAAGAATCTCGTCGGCCACAGGTGGCCTTTTAGACTTTCTATAGATCGCTACACGAGAATTGCAACGTTGTATCTGCTCAGTAGCTAGTTTTGGGAGATTTGACGTATGCAGAGTTTCACGTGGCACTTTTCGACTGCAATTCTTTGAATCTCATGAAGACTACTCCAAATAATCTTACGAATGCAGGGATGGGGAGGGCGGGGGGGTCTTACAGCTATTTTTACGCCTTTAGAATATTGATGCTGAATTTAAAAAAACATGCAGATGGTTGGGGGGTGCCACTGGTAGGTCCTACTTCTTTATTTTCCCTGTCGTTTAATTCTGTCTGTCCATCTTACTTGTCCCCAGCACTATATGACCATCACTGTGTCGACGTGTCTCTCGTTACACAAACAAACAAAACAATACAACAATATAACAACACTATTTCTCGACTTTGACAAGTTGCTCTTCGCCCAGAAACGTTCGTTTCGTTTTCGTTTCAGTTTGAGAAAAGAGAAGCATACCTCATCTACACGTAGTGGTCATTCAGTGCTTGGGGAAAAGTGAGACAGAGAAAAAGGAAATGACCGAGGGAAAGTCAAGAAGTAGGATCTGTCAGCTGTGTCCACCAACCATCCGCTACCCACAAACGAAGCTCAGGCCTTAATGATAGTGCAGCAGCCTAAAACGCAGATATGGAAAAACATTCCACTTTTCTGTTTTATGTTTTAGTAGAGTTTTTTCGGCGTTCGCAACTGCATAATAAGGTCATATGAAAGCCAATGGGTGGATTTCAAGAGAGAAGTCCTTACAGAGAATCAGACTTACTCTGCTCACCTCTCTAGCTTCAACAGCTAAAGTCTTGTTGTTTTTAAAAAAAAGAGATTTACGGCGCTCGAAACTGCATAAGGTCATATGAGCGCCAGAAGATTAGAGGTGTTACAAGAGAGTAACAAACATAAAATAGAAGAAGGGGAGATAAGGACGACAGATGTTAGGTAGGAAAGAAGAAGCAAACCACACCAGAGTTCCCGCCAACCACCCACAAATATGTTTTTAAATGGACATAAAAGGTGTTGACCCAAATTGGATATTATATTGCCAAACCGGCAGAAAAGTGCTGATATCTTCAATTTCATTATTTTGTGATATTTTGTGATATCTTCAATTTCATTCTTTTGTGATATTTTGTGATATCTTCAATTTCATTCTTTTGTGATATCTTCAATTTCATTCTTTTGTGATATTTTGTGATATCTTCAATTTCATTCTTTCGTGATATCTTCAATTTCATTATTTTGTGATATTTTGTGATATCTTCAATTTCATTCTTTTGTGATATCTTCAATTTCATTCTTTTGTGATATCTTCAATTTCATTCTTTTGTGATATCTTCAATTTCATTCTTTTGTGATATCTTCAATTTCATTATTTTGTGATATTTTGTGATATCTTCAATTTCATTCTTTCGTGATATCTTCAATTTCATTATTTTGTGATATATTGTGATATCTTCAATTTCATTCTTTTGTGATATCTTCAATTTCATTCTTTTGTGACATCTTCAATTTCATTCTTTTGTGATATCTTCAATTTCATTATTTTGTGATATCTTCAATTTCATTCTTTTGTGATATCTTCAATTTCATTATTTTGTGATATCTTCAATTTCATTCTTTTGTGATATCTTCAATTTCATTCTTTTGTGATATCTCCAATTTCATTCTTTTGTGATATCTTCAATTTCATTATTTTGACAAGCGCCTGATTTCACCCTGATGCCTCACATATAATTTTCATGAAAAGTTAGAAGAAAAACAAACAAACAACAGAAGGATGGCTCAGAAGTAGCTCTGGCAACTTACAACATTCTAAATCTATTCTATAAACAGATAAGTATTATTTCAGGCCACTGACTACTCAAAACAGCAAGATAAATGATCTGAAAGTGAACCCCAATACAGGGTTTGTGGGGTTTTTATAAGGAAAAGACATAACATACACTGAGAAAAGCTCAAAACTTTTAAAAACATAAACAAAAACAGCTCAAAACAGAACTTTGCCCTTGTGATAAAACTACTAAACCAAGAGAAGTAAAATTTACAGAAGAAGCTAAATAAATAAAACTTACTTGGTTTCAATATGCAGCAACTTGGCACCAGGCCTTATTTTACTTTTAGCAACATTTCTAATCAAAACTCAGTCCAGTCTTTGCCTGAGCCTGAGCATATAGAATGAATAATTTACAATTGATTCGCCTGACAGAAGAAAGAAAAGATATTGTGTGGGTCTGCCGGTCTTATCACAAGGGCAATGAGATCTTGAGTTAGGAAAATAAACCTCTCTAGATTGGAATCAGCAAGGAGGAAAAGTAAAGTCATTCATGAGTCAGTCTTCAGGGGGACACATGATGAAGAAAGGTAACAAGCACTTGAACTTGAACTCTTTATCTCCATGGGGGCTACTATGCCGAGGCCCCTTTTTTGGTACTAAATCTAAAAATGACAAAAATGTCATTAAATTGGCCAATAAATCCAAACAAGAGAAGCTATTTCGATAGTTCTTCATCTGATGAATGAAATCCTGATAAAAGAGACCTACTGCCGAAAACCAATTTTATGTCGAAGTCGTTATAAAGGAAAATGCCCAAGCTGCTGCCAGTGGCTCACCGGCACAGCAGTTCCAACCGCGAGCCGATGGGAGCGGCTTGCCAGAGACAAAGAGTCAACTACATCCACAGTCTTACCTGTACTCAAAAAAGAATCTCCTACCAAATGCAATCCATCTTTCTCCTGAAATATCAAGACACAAAAAAATAATTAATACTTATTATATCCAGTCTATATTTAAAGCATGAAAGCCATTTGGACTACGAAGCCCCTAAATTTACAGCAATTCCTCAGAGAATCACAAGAAAGTACTGATGGCATAAAAATAGCCTCTCTAAATAACAAAATATATAACATTTGGATAGAATTACCCACATTTTTCACTATTCCTGGGGAAAAATCAAAGCCACTAAAGTGTGATGCACTCAAACATTGCAGCAAAAAAATTACCACAAGTCTCAGTCTCGTGTTTAAAAATGTAGGTCTACACCAAATAAACAGAATAAATAACAAAGAATCCTAAAAGAAAGGTGAAAAAACCAAAACAAATGCTTCGCCAAGAAAGCAACTTGTTGCAATCACAAAGGTGCACTCTTCAGGCAGAAGTCTTTCTGCCAATACAAGCAATGAAAGGTAATCCTTGACTTTTGTTTTCTCATCTGTGATCAGGAAAACTCTTTAAGAACCAAGTCAGCTGAGTTATAATAAAAGAAAAAATCTAGAAGATACCTAAACAGTAGACCTATGATAAGCATGATTCAGAGTGGTTTCCTCCCTTTTGGTAAGTAGTTAACCATGCCACTTTTTTCCCTATGCACATTCAAAATGAGTGAAATATTACAAGTCAGCTTCACTCGATAGATGCAAAGGAGCAACTATTAAAATTTTCTAATATCCGATGAATTCCAGAGAGTGGTAACACTGCTGAGGTGCTAATGCCAGCAAAATGAGTTCATAGTCTTATCATGGCATACAATTCATATGCCCTTATATCATACAATCCAAAAGTAAAAAGCAAAGGATATAATAGTAAATTTAAACAGCCTATTGAGACTGAGCCAAAGAAAAACTACACGAGCATAAACTTTTGAAATGTGACTTATTGTCAGCTAACTGAATACAAGGGTGTAGACTTTGACAGCACAGTCAAGAAAAAAACCCTGTCTGCCACTCTATAAAATCTATAAATCAGAATCTCAGGGGGAAAAAAATCGGGATTCGGTGAAAAAAATCAGGATCAATGACAAATCACGAAAGTGACTGCCAAGCCGACCTAAAAATTTTCCAGGCGTGTCCAAAAATATATGTGTGTGTGTATGTGCCTGCGTATGGGTGTGTGTGTGTGTTATTAATTAATTTTTTTTTTATCCTGAAGTATCACGTCAAGCACTCCTACTCCAATTGTCTACCACCTACAAAAATCAACGGCTACGCTTTAACGCAGCCGAGATGTCACAGCGAGATGGCACAAGCTTACACGTCTCGCGGCAAGCATTTCCCGTGTGCGGCAGTGTTTCCCTTTCTGGCTTTCAGGCCACGCAAAAAACAGGAATTAATTTTTTTCAAAATGCGATTGTTTTACGGATAATTTCACGAAATAGTTTCTAATATTCTGAAGTTCAGCTTATATCTTAGATGATACAGGAGCATTCCGCAGATTAAGCGACCATACATTTTTTAAAAACAATCTCCTAAAAAAAACCACCTTGTAACTTTCTTGTTTTTAGCTCGATTAAGACACGGAAATCCGCAGAGGCTAGATCCATCTCTCTTCTCATTGGTTGCTGAATTTGGGGACCTTCGATTAATATTTAGATCAGTTCCACACTTTCCAAATACGGCGAGTCCGAAATCACGGTGCCATTCGGCGGGTTTCGGTCTCGCTGCCGACCAATCCTCTTTCTTCGATAATACCTCAGCTGTCAATAAAAGTATTGGAACATTTTTTTCTTTAGTGAATGCCTCAATTTCTCTCACGTGTGTTAATGTATGATACATGGGGCTGACGCATAAAACAATGCTATTTAATAAGCGAGTTCCCAGGCTTACCCATGGCTTAGTGTGAGTCTACTGCATTTTCGCACTGCTGATGCAGGGCGTGTAGTATTGCTAGTTTAGAGGCAAAATCCATTCGAGTACAAAACGCTAGCCACCCCAGATTGACGGCGAGCCACTGCTTTGAATGTATATTTGGCAAACTGATTCATAATTAATTTAGTATCTCAGATCCCTAAGGGATTCAACAAGACTGCTTGTCCAACTGTAGGTGTTCAAAGCATTAAATATTAGAAATCTCTCCTTTGCTGCAAAGTAGAGCTGCTGATTTCAAAGAACTAGAGCCTTTATACAATGGAGGAAAAAAAATGTCATTTATACAGGGTAGTCAACACAGCTTTTTCCGTATAATCCAATCAATAAGCCAGCAGTACCCATGAATCAATTTAAAAAAGCGAGTAGTTATCACATAATCCACCCATTATTATCCATTAACATTAATAGCTTTAGCGATGGAGATGATAAAAAGTTAGCAATTTTAAGATAAGTTCCTTAGTATTTTCTTCATTTTTAAACAAACTACAAGAACATTTGTGCGCTGCCCCTCCCCCCCTCCTCCCCCCTACCCATCCCCCCAACCATGTCACAGTTGATCGATATCATAGCTGCCACTCAGGAATTTCAAAAAAGGAGGAAATTTATGCGAAGGCGTTTGCACACTCTCCGAAGGCCAGAGTAAAACCAGTGAGATCCAGAGGCAATATATTGGAACATCTAGACTAAGTTTTGGGAAGGGAAAACTGCTATCTAGATTTGTTAACCATAGAAGAGGCTACTGAATTAAAATGTGAAAAAAATCCAAGACACTGAGTTGACTAACAAGCATAATTTTACAGTTTGGTGACTAAAAATCCAGCGTTTGTTGCCAGCTGGTGTCTCAACAATTTCTTTCACTTTAAACTTGTGCATCGATGTAGAGCAGTTTTGGATCAAGGAAGAAGGCAACATCTTTGCCACTGTACTGAGCGATTTCTTTATCGCACCAAACGCAAAGTGCAGCAAGCGGCTTGTTAAATTTTCTAATGAACTTTTCAAGTCACACACCATCTGCTTCTTTCTCATTCCAGCTCCTTTTATTTAATGCATTCTGCCTCAATTTCTCTCGAATTTCTGTCATTTTTAAGGACAACTTGGAGCGCCATCGTCCCGATGCTCGATCGACAATGTCGCTCCACAATAAACAAATGAAACTAGCGCTAGGCAGGCACAGAAGAACGGAAGTAAGTAGAAAGCTACAGGCGGAATTGCGCAAGCCACGTTTTCCTCTCTCCCGGTGTGGTGTTTTCCACCAGAAAAAAAAAAGTACCGCAATTTGCAACCCAGAGCGGTCCAGCGGAGGAAAGAAGAAAGTAGCAGGAAAAGCTAAATGAAGAGAAGTTTCCGTTATTTAGCGGAAAAGTGGCAGCTATGATAGTATCATGCATGCATGCAGGCTAGACTAGGCCTAACGGCCAACTAACTGTGCCACCTTCCAACTCAGAACCAAAGCCCTGCATAGAAGCCTTGGGCACCAGGCTTTTTATTCTTCTTACTATTCTAGCTCAACACATAAAATCATTCAAATTTAGATTCTAGTAGCCTACTTGAAAGTTCATAAACTGAACCCTGCCTTGACTCTATCCAATTCCAATCAGGTGGGGTGTAGTGTAAATGAAAATGTAAAAAAAAAAACAACTTCTATACACTTCTAATATATCTAGAAGTCTTCATGCTTGCACAAGAAGAGGGCTATCCCAAAAAATGCTGTTTTGAGAAATTCGAAGGTAAAGTTTTGAGGCTTTTTTGGCAGTTCCCACCTCGAAATTGTTATCCGCCGCTTTTGGCCCCAAGAGTAGGGGGGTATCAGGGGGCTTGCCCCCCTGACCTGATTATATAAAAATATGGTGGGGGGGGGGGGGGGGGGGGGGCATAATTATGGCATGTTTTGCAGTTGTTAGGTTGTTGTATCTTAGCTCACCGCACATCAAACGTATGGATCTAGAATCTAGAATTTAGATATGTAGACATGGGAACTACCGAAAAAGCACCAAAGTTTTTGCAACCTGCTCAGTTTCTTCAAAAGACAAGGAGAGTAAATTCTCTCTATGACCAGACACACACCAATGAAACCAAACTTCTCTAGTCTCTAGAGACTCTAGATTCTAGATATAATCTAGATCTAGAATCTAGATTCTAGATCTATAACTATAGGTGTAGATCTAGGGCAAGGCCCACTTTTGGCGAAGGTCAAGATTTTTGGAAACTCCCGAAATCTGGGTTAGCTCGCTTGTCCTTATAAGCGACCAATATTTACTAATAAACTAAAAACCATTTAAAAAACCCAATAATAATAAGTATAATAACAAAAAAGCTCAGAATTGAACAACAACCACATTCAGATTGGGTAGCATTGTCACAAACTAGATCTAGTGAAAGCTTGAATATAATCTTGCAGCTGAGTGTATCAGATACATGACTAGATATCTAGATATAGATCTAGATCTAGAATCTAACAACAAAACCCTCGTCATTGTCACAAACTGAAAATTTCAGTGAATATTCCCAGCCTCAGCAGACAGTCTTGTCTGAGGTGTTAGCCTGTCTAGCATTCGTAGTCAGTTACATTACAACTATCGGAATAGAGGCTACAGTACAAAACTGGAACTTATGCAACCCCTAGGACAGAAATGAAAGCCCAGCTGTTCTCTGTACCTCTTGACAAAAACCTGTAGAAAGTTTGAAGACTGTCTGTAACGTTTCAGAAAACAGAGAGCAAACTTCCGTGAGAAAACACGGAAATGCAACTTTCACCACAGAGATGTAAATAGGAAGCCATCTTGATCATAGCCCCGGATGACGATAAGACAGGTACGCGAACAGAATGTCGGCCAATCGCCAATTTCAAAATGGCAAGTAGACTTGCTATTTTCAATTAGGCCCTGGTCTGTGTTATTAGATTAGGCTAACTCAAAATTGTAAACTGTAAATAGCTTGGGATAAATTTTGCTTAAAATTTGAGTTTTTAAAATTGAAAATAGATCTAACGTATTCATAAATGCGGTTGGCTAGTTGAAAGCATAATAATATACTACGTCTGCGCTGAAGTAAGATAGCCTCGTATCTAGAAATCTGATATTGAAAAAAAAACAAAAAACTTTTCAGCGACCCCCGCCCCGGACCTTCCCTGTTTGCACTGAGAAAATTGTTTCTCTCAGATGAAGGCTACTGATGAGACAATAGACATACACAACCCTTGCCCCATATTGGACACTCAGACAAGGCTATGTTTTAGTAGATCGCCGATATTCCTGGATATAAAGGCCAGGTGTCTCCATCGACCTTATATATTACAGTACAATATCTAAGGTGTCATTTTCTAAACATAGTAGCCTACTTTTGCTATTGTGATGGCATGGTATAGAATTCTGTACGGCCTAGCCATGTCTTGGATAGGCTAGAAGAAGGGCTCTGGGCTCTGGGCTATTTTGCGTCTTATCGCTTCTACGCAAGCCTAATATAAGTATCCATTTGCGATCTAAAAGCTGCGTGGCTAGCTGCATTTGCAACTTTCTGCTTCCAATGCTTTCGAACTCTATCAGTATTTTAGCATAACTTGGAACAAACTTTGAACGCGAGGCCTAAGGGGAAAAAAACGGGAAAATATGAGTTTTTAGTTTTTAGCAACCAAACCAGAAGTGCAGAACGCATGCGCATAGAGGATTTCCGGGTCGAAAGGCAAGGAAGGAAGGAAGTAAACTAACAGAAGTTCAATGGAATCGCACATAAAAATGATTATTATTGCTAGATCTACTATTACGGTTTAGGCCGTAATTACTTGTAATTTTTGTGGCAAGTATGTATCTAATCTAGGCCAAACAAAATAGTGTTCTAGACTTCTAGATTTGAACATGCACTGAGTAATTTGTAAAGAGTTTCGAGTCTATTGTCGTCAAAGAGTATGATGATAATGATAATCTAGAGATCTAGAGCTCGACTAATTATTAACTGTGTAGATCATCACACTGATCAGAGGGATCTTGATTCAGATTGACTTCTTGTGACAAGGGCTAGACTAGGCCTAGATCTAGATCTTGCTCTAGTTTCTAATAGTTGATCTAAATCTAAGTATAATTTGGGGTAGATCTAGATCTCTAGATCTAGACTAGATGCTCCTCACTTAGCTAGAATCAATAATCATACTATGACTATGATACTCATACCATACTGACTCATTGACTGTCAGCTCTTTTATAACTTTCGGCGCATTTTCGGTAGCCTACTCTAGATCTAGAATCTAGATCTAGTTCCCACCTCGCAAATGTTATTCGCAGGTTTTGGCCCCAAGAGTAGGGGAGGTTCAAGGTGGCTTGCCCCCCTGACTCTGACCTAAATAAGGGGAGGGGGGGGGGGTTCGATGCCCCCCTGATTATGCCGTAATTTAAATTAATGAAATGTATACAGACCCGGTAACCGGGAACAAAGTCACGAAGTATACAGACCCGGTAGGGGAACTCTTTTGTGATTTCGGGAAGTTTCAGCCCCCAGACCCGGTAGAAACCTAGTGTGTGTGTGTGAGAGAGAGAGAGAGGACAGGGGGGGAGTGTAATTTATGGGGGGGTTTCTTAGCAAAATTTTGCCATCCCCCCATTTGGCAGGAGGGACCGAGAGAAAGATAGATTTGGAAATAGTTGGGGACAAAGAAAGACAGAGATAAACAAAGAAAAAGGGAAGCGGAGCGATACACAGAGGAGAAGGGGGGGGGGGGGGGGGAGGGCTGCTCGATTGAAATTATGACATTGTAACTTTTTTTTTCTTCAAAATGTGATTCCTCCAACTCCAAAACGGAGGAAAAACGATCGTTCATCGAAAAGACATCCGCAATCTTCATTTAGGTCTAGGCTAGCCACGAAACTAGATCAAAGATTTAAGTTTGTCTGCCTAGATCTAGACCATAGATCTAGAAGAACCTAGGTCTACCCTGAGTCAAGAGGGCGCTGGAAACTCTCCGAAATCACAAAAGAGTTCCCTTACTGGGTCTGTGTATACTTTGTGACTTTGTTCCCGGTTACCGGGTCTGTATACACTCCCTTAAATTAATGTTTTGCAGTTGTTAAGTTTGATATCTTAGCTCGCCGCACATCAAACGTATCTATAGACTAGATCTAGATTCTAGATGTAGATCTAGGCTCAAATAAGGGGGGTGGGAACTACCGAAAAAGCACCAAACTTTCTTTGTCTTACCCTGCTGAGCCAACATTACAAACGGAAGGAGTTCCTCTATTCCACAGAGGACTGGACAACCAACAACACCTAGGCTAGATCTAGATCTAACTCTAAGCTTAACCCACCTCTTGTATTATAGTTTGCTCGGTGGACCTTGTCTCAGTAAAGTGCCGGCCCTCTGCGGAACTCCTCCCTTGTAAACAATCAAAAGCCTTTAAAAAAGTAGTAGGCCTTAGGCCTTGTCCACTGTGTTGGGGTCTTTGCAGTCGGAACATGTCCATCTCTGCTCTCCCCCCTCTTCAGGGTCCATCCCTGAGTCTGTCTGCTTTTATAGTCTCCATCATATATATTCTGGTTGGAGATCCATGGGACTGGTCCGCACAGGTGGCTGTGTTTCCTTTTTATCCTCTTTGGATCCCCTTCTCCTTCAATCTACCTAGAGTGTGGGAACCGCTGTCCGCCCTATTCTTCCTCAAATTTTCCCTTTCAGCGGTTAGGACGGTTGGTGGGTCCAGTGTCAAATTCCCTCCCACTTTTGCTTCTCCAGCCGGCTTGTCTACTCTCTCGTTGGCGATTACCCCCGCGTGGCCCGGGCAGAAGATCCAGGCCACTCTTTCCAGGCTGCTCTCCCTGATCGTAGCCTTCCAGCTTGCTTTAGCATCCCTTTCTGTACCTTCTGTAGTGTGCTCATAGAGTCGGTAATGATTACTGCTCGCTGATGGCTTGTGTTCTTGATCCTGTGTAGAGCCTCACTTTATATGGTTTTTATCTCCTTACACATAGGTATACTTGATATTGTCTGTGCAACTTTGCTAAGTAGGTGTACAACATGGAAATTTCCTTTGATTAGACCAAGATTCTAGATCTGATCTAGATCTAATCCTAATCAAAAAATTATATTGCAATTTATTGTCTTGTCTCTGGATTTGATGAAGTGAACATGTCTTGCTCCTGTTTGGCTACAGCTACAGTCCCAGTATCAGTTTCTATACCGTTCTTTTTTTAATCCGTTTTACATGAATAATGACTTCATTATATATATCATATCCATTGCAAAATAACATTTGAAAAACTGTTTGATGATTTTTAATTGAACTATAAGCCTTTTTTATTTAAAATAGTTTTTTGTGCTTCTGACCAATCTGGGAGGGTTCTGTGGAGCATTCATTCAAACCCCCCTCCGAGTTTTTTTTTTTAAAAAGGGTGATGTGTCTGGGGTATACTGCCCCTGAGCAATTTCGTATTATAGAGCTGCCCTTTAGTTCTTTTCTTACTTCCTTTGATGATGTCTTTTTCAGAAACAGCATCCACCAGAAAGTGAGCTCAGTGCCTTCCAGAATGGACGGGGCTGAAGGGTCAGTGGTTCCTCTAGGTGAGGATGTGAGGACCTGTAAAGGAGCAAGTGGCCAGGGCACCAGTGTATCAGAGAGTGGAGCCAATGGCGCTGCGGGGGACTGTGCTACAGAACAGGCTGAACATTCCAATGGTCTGTCGGAAAAGATGTCGAATCTAAACAGCATTTCTTCTAGTGATACTCCTGTGGATAACACTCAGGAGCAAGACAGTGTCACTGGAGTCTGCAGGTCTCTGTCAGCTGAACCTGAAATGGAGGTAGGCACGCAGCCTGTCTTTACAGACTTAGAAGGGAAAGTTGGTGACAATGTGGAAGGCTCAGAGGAGTACATCGAGGATATTAAGGAAACCTCTCCTAGTCCCTGCGAGTCCATGGACTCCTTGAGACCTGGTGGCGACACTTCGAGGGAAAGCTCCGAGTGTCCTTCCTCACTTTCATATCGGGACAATATGAGCTCTCAGATGTCTATGGCTTCCTACCCTGGTGACATAAGAAACACAACTCCAGATCTCCCCATGTCTATGTCCAGAGAATCGAGTTTTGCTTTCCTACGAGAAGAGTCTGTGGTATCAAACAGTAGCTCCAACCAGGACAAGGAGGAGTTTTTGAGTGCACGAGAGTCCTTAGAGTCATCGTCGTCAGCTGGTTCCTGTAGGTCTGGAGGGAACCTTGGAATCAAACCCGGTGAACTAATGAACCAGCTTGTGGAAGGGCCCCTCATCACCTTACCACCTGCCCAGCTGTCGTCTGGTTCTTCCTCTGCTCCCATTTCTTCGCCACAGGCCGAGTCTGCGGCCCCAACACCTTCGGGACAAACCCTCTCAGGCACACACGTACCACAAGCTCAGGGCACAGTTGAGGAGGCACAGCCTGCTCCCCCGACTCACCACCCGACATACGCCGAGGTGGCTCACCACAGTGTTGGGTCCAACGCTCCGAGATCCAGTGCCACGAGCGCTGGCGGTGACCAGGGCTCCACTGATAAGTCAACACCTTCGTCTGCTCCCACTCAGGCTCCTAGTAGTGGCAGTACAGCTCAGAGCTCTGCAGCAACAGCAGCAGCCAACAAAGCGAGAGTGAAGAAGACTCCAAATGACTTTATATTTGGGAAAGTTATTGGAGAGGGTTCTTACTCCACAGTAAGTATTTTTGTGACAGTTTTTGTATGATTCATGTTTATTTTGTACAGTATTCTCCGCCTAAGATCTCGATGCTGGGGAGAAAGGAAAATACGGGATCTTAACCGACGAACCTAGGGAAGAATCAACGGTGACCCGTGTTAAGGCCCACTACTGGTAAAATGGTCTCTCTCCACTCTAAAATGAACTGACGTGACCGCATGGTGGATTTATATGACATACGGCGAGCAAAGATGGTCAACCTTTATGACCAATCACAGTGCCATGAGGCATGCCATTTACACTTATATCCCATCATGAGTCTCTAAAGATCTATATGCTTATCCAGAAGCCCCTCCCCTTCTTTACCTGTCCAAAATTTATAGCTCTGACCGAGTTCCCCTGCGTTAGTCATTTCGCACCATTACGTTGTGACTGCACCAATTAAAATTCAGTCTGTCTCACAAATTCGGGAATAGAGACAACTGCTGCAATAGTCAGGAAAGAGTTCACAGTTTGATGTGATCCTGCCTGGAGCGAACTTGTAGGCCCAGCTAGTGATGTTAAGTTTAGGTGGAGAGCGCAGATGCAAGTGCGATGTTTGGAGAAAACAAATGCGTTGGTCAGTTCACACGTCTGTGTAATCTGTCAGGGGCAAACATTGTACCATTTCATCGAGTTTTACAATGCTTATAAATGTAATCACATTCAAGAGAGAGGCTGATCTTTGACACGACGGGCAGTTCATTGATCTCAACTTTACTCTTGGTTTACCGGCTGTGCCCGCCCTGGTTTTTATTCCATAAATTATGATATGAAATGCAGGATCTTAGCTGAATGCAGACCTACATTGTGAATCAGATGGGGATCTCGGGATCTTAAGCAAGATGCTAAGCGGTGGGATGTTAGGAGGAGACTGCTGTACAATGTGAATGTATTGAAATTTGTTCAATGAAGTTCTGGAAGAATGATGAACATTGTTGAAAAATATCATAAATAACATCCTAGTATTCTGTGTAATGTAAACATATATTGTGTGTGTCTAGCCTGTGTGACTCAGTGAGAGCAGGGAGTAAAGCAGAAATGGGGGGGAGGGGGGTTATGATAAGAAGGTTTAGTTGAACACCACAATAAAACTTATTATGGTTGATTTAATCAGCTGTCAACACTTGGAGTTGGAGGGTTTAGGTATAGATATCCATGCTTCTTCTATTCGTTACATATATATTGCCAATCTGAAATGGTACTGGCATCGATATAACTTGAAATTTCTTTTCACAGGTATATCTAGCCAAAGAGGTCAGCACTCAAAAAGAATTTGCAAGTGAGTTGTGAATGTGTTGTAAAATGATTTCTTTGACAGTTCAAGAAGGGGATTCAACTCTGTACAGTGTGTGTACATGTGTAACCATTTTGTCATGGTTTTGTCCCTTGCAGGAGTCCTCCTCCTCCTCCCCCCCCCCCCCCCCCCCCCCCATTTTTCCTTGAGTTCTTGTTTGTGAAATGGTCAGCCATTCTGAAAACAGTCTCATCATTATTATTTAAACTGAGGCAGAATCATTTAATTAATTGTCTGTAAACAATGTAGCATACCAACTGTTTTATTGGTAGTTTCTTGACATGCGCTTTAATTTTTGCTTTGTCTGTCTTGTTGATATTTAATTGTGACCATTATCTTCGGAGGTGTTTCATTTTTCCTTTTGTCTTTCTTGAGAATTTTTATTGTTCAGATATTAAATTGTCTGGGTGAATTATCCCTTTTTTATATTCTTGTCTGTTATTGTTATTTTATGTACTGTTTTTTTTCCTTTTTTGTTTGTCAAATTATTTCTTTTGACCGTTGAAATGTATCGTTTTTCTCTTTTATACGTCAAGTTGTAGTGTTACTGTTCTTTGTTTCTCTGTTGAGCTGAATTACTGCTCCTGTTTGTCTCTGAAGGTGCATCATGTTTGGTTCTGTGTCTCTCTTACTTACAGTCAAAGTGTGTGACAAGAAGCACCTGATCCGAGAGAGAAAGACGCACTTTGTGATGAGGGAGAAAGAGGTCTTGATGAAACTTGACCATCCTTTCTTCATCAGACTGGCGTACACGTTTCAAGACCCTGAGCGTCTCTGTATCCTTATCATCTGTTTGAAAAATCAGGGCAGTTTGATCAGATTCTTATTGAACACGGGAAGGTCCCATTTTGTATAATTTACCTCACGACTTTGCATTTTAGTGGGTTCATGCTACTGTGAATAAGGTTTCTCAAGTTGCCTCAAAATATTTTTTTTCAGGGATTTATGCCACTGTCTGGTATTTGACATACATGAAATTTCAGCCTTTTAATGGTGCCTCACTTACTGGCACATATATATATATATATGTTTACAAAGTCTTGTCAAGGCAGTCTTTGCTGCGTGTTTGTGAGTCAGAAACTGTTAATTATGTGAACTAATGAAGTGTATTATATATATATATATATATAGGCAGAGCCTGTGCCTGAACCTGGCACTCCTAAACATGTCACAGAGGTCAATTTTTAAGTTAAAAACTGCTTAATTTCTGTTTTAATTCCATGAATATGTAGGTAATTGGTGTTATTTTCATATCTATTTCTTGTACAAATACAGCAGAAAAAAATATTTTTTGTAAAAAAAATGTAGATGTTAGATGATCATTTTGGGATTCTGACGTGCATAACTATGATGATAGGAAATCTCTACTAGTGATAAAATTTGTACAGCCTCATCTGTTTAAAGTAGGTATCTCTACCAATTGTGTGCACCAGTATCAAGCCTTTAAAAAAGAATTAGAAAATTTGCGTCTGATTTTGTGATATTTGATGTAAAATGTCATCATAAGTTATGCACGTCAGATAGCCTGACCAAAACTGTTCTGAACTCTTTTCCAACTTTTCTTTTGAAACACCACTGTTGCGATATCAATTTGTATAATGTCTGTTTGTATTAAGTTGAAAATTGACATATATTAAGATGACGAGGACAGTCGTTTCTTGAGAATTATATTAAATACGAGTAAAAATATCTTCTGTGCATAGCTATAATGACATTTTTTGTCATCATCGTTATGAGCATAAGAAGAGAATATAAATTTGAACTATCTTAGAAGGTTATTAAATTCTTTTTAATTCTAATTAAATTGCTCTAGGCATTTATGAAACCAAAGGAATCACTGAATTTATGATGAATGATGTCTGGCATTTTCTGCAGCACAAATCGCTTTGTAACGCTCTTCACTGAAACAAGTACTTGTATTATCCCTGCACATCTTGGAATTCCCGGGGCCAGTGGTGTAAAAGTTTGGTACTTTGCTGTTACACACAAAAAATGTCTTTTGTCTAGTTTTCATTTTTTGCCTTTTTGTGGACAGAGGGTCGGCCATAGCAAGAAACGGTGAACTGTTAAAGGGTGCCACCAGCACGTGGTACCTGCTTTCATTTCCTGTGTCTGTTTGTTTGTTTGTTTGCTTGGCTTAGTAAGTTAGTTTCCCTGCACAAAGTGACTATATGGATTTGTCAGTATGTTTCTCTCTTATTCCAACAAGATCCCAGTAACAAGCATACAATGTTCTACCCACATTTTAAATTACCTGCCTGTGTCAGGTACTGTGTTAACTCATGAGAACAAAGCCTCTATCCCTTCCTTGACAGCCATGTAAGACTATACATTGACCTATGCACGCAACGGGGAGCTCTTGGGATACTTGCACAAGTTGTCGGCTTTTGACGTGCCCTGTACACGTTTCTACACTGCCGAGATTGTCCTAGCTCTGGAGTACCTGCACTCGCTCGGCATTGTCCACAGGTAGGACTGTGATGTGTGGAAAGCTGGGGTTGAGTCCTGTAGTACTACAAATATTTTGTCTCCTTGAGACTGTTTTTCAAACATTTGGATGAACTTTTGTTTTTTGTTTTTGTAAGTGTTTTACGGCGCTCGCAACTGCATAAGGTCATATGAGCGCGCAGAACACATTAAACTTTTTCAGTTGGTAGGAAATTTTTTATTTTGCCCGGGTGGCGGCCGAAGCCTACTCTTATCGATTTTAGACCACCAAGGGATCTTTAACGTGCGCAACTTGCACACGGGCCCTCTGAGATTTTTCGCCCTTGTCCGAGAAGGCTAGGTGTAGATCTTTCCTACCAGAAGATCAAGGGTGTGGCAGAAAGACAGCAGTAAGAAGAAGCCAAGGAGTAGCAGTAGAAAGGCTGTAGAAAGAACCAGGAGCCCAGAGGAGAGGGGCAAAGGAGATGAGGGAATGGGGGCAGAAAGAGGAGACGAAAGCAGATGACAGAACATTGCTAGAGAGCAGGAAAGGAGGTGATAGGAGACAAATTTAGAGAATAAAATTTTTCGGTCACTACCCGGATTCGAACCCGGGACCTTTGATTGAGAGGCCAACACCTTAACCTCTAGGCCACGAGAGCCCCCGGATGAACTTTGATGCTTTTAAGTTGTGAATGTGTATATATAAAACAAATTTCCTTGGGAGGTGATTTCTTACTGCTTTGCGTCTCCCTGTCCATCAGCTTCAGCTAATTTACATACTTATCCATCTTTTTCTTTTTGTTTGCTCAGAAGGATGAAGACAGAAGGGGGCTCTCATGGCCTAGAGGTTAAGATATTCGCCTCTGATTCAATAGGTCCCCGGTTCGAGTCCAAATAGCGGCAGACTTACTACCGTCTTTCAGACACACTCCTGATCTTATGGTAGGAAAGATCTACACCTAGCCTTCTCGGACTAGGGCGAAAAATCTCTGAGGTCTCGTGTGCAAGTTGCGCGCGTTTAAGATCCCTTGGTGGTCCAAAATCGATAAGAGTAGGCTTCGGCCGCCACCTGTGCAAAATTCAAAATTTCCTATCTACTGAAAATATGTTTGATGTGTCCCGCACGCTCATATATGACCTTATGCAGTTGCGAGCGCTGTAAAAAAGTTACCAAAATAAAAAAGTGTGTCGTTTTCTGTAAAACCTTTTGGGTAGTTGGTGGGTGATCTGGTGTGGTTTCCTCCTTCTTTCTTAACAAACATCTGTGGAACATTCCTTAAGTCTGCTGCTTTCTAAGAACCCCTCTAATCTTTGGCTATAGGTTTCAGGTGCAGCAAAACGAAACTCTTACTGAAACTTTTTATTTAGAAGTAAAACCATTGCGTCTTTTTTTCCCCCCATTTAAAACTTAATGGCCATTGTCATCTGCATGTATTTCTCCTTCACTCAAACTTTGTTTTGTGGGTGGTTGGCCGGTTGTCTGGTGTGGTTTGCTCCTTCTTTCCTATAAAAAAATCTATCGTCTTTATCTCCCCTCCTTCTTTTTTGTGTTTTGTTACTCTCTCATAACACCTCTAGTCTTCGGCACTAATATGACCTTATTGTGTAGCAAGTGCCGTAAAACTCATACTCAAACTTTAAAAAAACTCTGTTTTTCATGGCCTTTGCTTGCTTCACACAGCATTAGATAATGAGTTTGGTGTTTTTTGTTTTTCTACCTGTGGCTGTATGTGGGTGCTCTGGTGTGGTTTGCTTCTTCTTTCCTATCAAACATCTATTGTCCTTATCTCCACTTCTTCTTTTTTATGTTTGTTACTCTCTTGTAACACCTCTAATCTTCAGGCGTTCATATGACCTTTTATGCAGTTGCGAGCGCCGTAAAACCTCTACCAAAACAAAAACAAAAACTCATATTCAAACTTTAAAAAAATGTGTTTTTCATGGCCTTTGCTTACTTCACACAGCATTAGATAATGAGTTTGGTGTTTCTATTTGCTACTCTGTAACTGACGCTGTTACTGTCTATCCCAGAGACCTGAAGCCTGAGAACATCCTCCTGAGTGAAGACATGCACATCAAGATCACAGACTTTGGGACCTCAAAGATACTCTCCTCTGGTAACTAGATTTGTGGGACAGTTTGTCAAGCAGAGTGTGGGGGGGTGGGGGAAGAAAAAATTGAAGGGCCTTTAAAAAAAGAACTTGAAGAACAAGCTCTTGTATAGATGTCTTACAGTTCTCAATAATTTTATAGAAATAAATAGTACAACTTTTCAAAAATGTTAAAGTGAGTTTGTGGGGTTTTTTTATTTAGTTGTTTTACGTGTACAGCATCACTTTCTCAAAAATCAAATTATACTTTTAGATGTTAAACCTTGGTAAAGTGGGTGGTTGGCGGGTGCTCTGGTGTGGTTTGCTCCTTCATTCCTATCAAACATCTATCGTCCTTATTTAATCTTCCCTTCTTCTTTTTTTTGTTTGTTACTCTCTTGTAACACCTCTTATCTTCTGGCACTCATATGACCTTATGCAGTTGCGAGCGCTGTAAAACCTCTACTAAAACAAAAATAAAACAAAACCTTGGTAAAGTCTTGATATACTTCATATGTGGTAAATTGAATTATTGACTGTTTGTTTTCTTTTGATAACAATAGTTTTTAGGGTTCATTTTTTGTGTTTGATAAAAGAGTCTCGTCCTACCCGAGCTTTGATGTTATTGAGTCTCGTCCTACCCGAGCTTTGATGTTATTTAGTCTCGTCCTACCAGAGCTTTGATGTTATTGAGTCTCGTCCTACCCGAGCTTTGATGTTATTGAGTCTCGTCCTACCAGAGCTTTGATGTTATTGAGTCTCGTCCTACCAGAGCTTTGATGTTATTGAGTCTCGTCCTACCAGAGCTTTGATGTTATTGAGTCTCGTCCTACCAGAGCTTTGATGTTATTGAGTCTCGTCCTACCACAGCTTTGATGTTATTGAGTCTCGTCCTACCACAGCTTTGATGTTATTGAGTCTCGTCCTACCCGAGCTTTGATGTTATTTAGTCTCGTCCTACCAGAGCTTTGATGTTATTGAGTCTCGTCCTACCCGAGCTTTGATGTTATTTGTCTTTTTTCTCTTTGCAGATAGCAAGCCTGAAGTGAAACGTAAGAATTCTTTTGTCGGCACCGCAGAATACGTGTCTCCTGAAGTTCTGAACAACCAGCCAGCCAACTTTGGGTGAGCCTAGTTTTTGTGATGTTCAATATGGGACTCTTTTGGTTTTTATTTGAAGGGTGGGGGGGGGTGGTTCAGAACACACAGAGGGTATTAGATATGTAGCCGAAGATGCAAAGTGTTGGCGCATTCGAGATCTGTGTAAAGATTCTTGTCTCAAGACATGTTTTTGAGTAAAGGGATGTAGCAGTTCTTACAGATTCTTTCTCAAAGGGGATCCCAGTGATAAAAAGTTCCAATGAACTGAATATATGCACGTTGTACATTATTGGAAAGGGTGTGTTTAATACCCCTGTGATCGTGGTATGTCTCCAAAGTGAGCTGAACTCTGTGTGATGCTATGATTGTCTAAGACAATTATTTAAGAAGTGTTTACTCGGAAAAGGAAAAAAAATCCAACCTTATATGTCCGCCTGTCACTGGACACAACTGCACAAGACAAGTAGTGGGTGGTTGGGGGGGGGGGGGGGGGGGGGGTAAATAAGAAGTGATTTGAGGACTGTGGTCTGGAGAAATACAAGTAAATGCAGTGGGCTTTTGTTTTTGTTTTTGTTTTTTCTTTACTTTTATGATTCAGTATGATCAAGGGTTCGGGTATGTGTGTTTGCATGGAAGAAATCATTTTGTATGAACATCAAAAATTCAAAACCTTTGAATAAATTGTTTTTTGGGTTTTTTAAAGAATTATAAAGATGTGCAGTACTAATGACCTCCATCTTATTTCTATTTTCAGGTCAGATTTATGGGGTCTGGGTTGTATAATCTACCAGTGTTTGTCAGGATCTCTGCCGTTTCGATGTGGGTGAGTGAAGTGCCTGTGTTTCTCTCTCTCTCTCTCTTCTGGCGCTGTGGCTTCATAAACGGTCAGCAATGCCAACAGCTCGCAGGAACTCAACACTCGCCCGGGGGTCCTTAAAAAGGGCTGAAAGTGGGTTACTGAAATGTCCCAGCAGACGGGTTCTAGCACGATAGCTGGTGGGACATCTCAGGAACACATGGTCCATAGTTTCGTCCTCCTCCTTGCAAGCTCGACAGGACGGATCTGGGTTGTCTGCTGGCGCAATTTTGTGGAGATATGATCTCAGCTTGGGCGATTTTCCGCCAGTTCTCATTTGGGAGAGAAGCCGGCGGTCCTGTCGTCTGAGCGAGGCCTCAATCTGGTATGACGGCGGCTGGGCAAATGGCAGTTTGGGTTTCGCCTCTCTTTTCCACTTTGCGCGGGTCGATCGGTGGTGCCTGTGTTTGAAAACACTTTACGAAGTGTGTTATGTACGCTCTTACTGGGTAGGTTATTGAAGGCTCAGAGCTCATATAAAGCTCTAGAAAAACAGGTTTCGTATCGCACAAGCATTTTCTGGAGAAATAAATACTTTTATTGGACGTCAAAGTTTTTCTTCTTGTTGAGACTAGGTTGAAGCGCTAGTATGGAGAATACGGTATAGGAAGAGTCTAACTTCATATATCAAATACTTCAAAGAGTTCACTTGAACCATTTTATCTAAATGTTTCATTTTCTCTTGTTTACAGATCCAATTGTTTTTGTTCTACTCCTGCTATATCCTGATACAAAAATTGTTGTTAATGTTGTTTATTGGAACCTAAATTGAGAAGCATCTTTTCTTTCAATGAGAAATGGTGTTTCCATAACTATGTTTTCTTGCGGGGACTTCAGTTCCTTTAAGTGGATGGTTGGCGGGTGCTCTTATGTGGTTTGCTTCTTCTTGCCTATGAAACCTCTATCGTATCGTCCTTATCTCAACTTCTTCTTTTTTATGTATGTTACTCTCTTGTAACACCTCTTATCTTCTGGCACTCATATGACCTTATGGCGAGCAGGCAAAGGGTTAAGGGGATTTCAAACATCATCTATATAGAGAATGAGGTTGGTCCATGTCGTATAATCTATTTGATAGAGATCTGATTTCATGACATAAAAAATTGACTCCACTCTCAGCATCTTGGTCCTCAGAGTTTGATAATAAAAGTACTAATAGATGTCTATGTGGCACCTCCATCCCATCATTGAGGTCCAAGGCTTTTTATGTGGCTGAGATTATAAGATCTCCATCAGAATCACAAGCATGCACTCACAAATTCTCATGGGCATGTTCTTACCATTTATTAAGTGCTTCAAACTTATATTTTGTTGCTTTGTTTTCTTTCCAGCAACGAATACCAGACTTTTCAAAAGATTGTGAAAGCTGAGTATGACTTTCCAGAAGGTTTCCACCCTCATGCGAAGGATTTGGTACAGAAACTTTTGGTAAGCAGCATTCACTTGACACGTACATGAAACCAAAAAGGAGGAACAGGGGTGTTCAACATCTGCCAATTTACCAAACTGGTGTGAATGAATGTTACTTCTTATTCTCTTCTAAATGGCTGTAAAGTATGTGTGCTATCTTGTATTGTCTTTTCCTATGCAGACCATTTTGCCTAAAGTTGTTAGTTTTTTTGTGATTAGACCCTATGAGGATTATTGAGGATCGTAGGATGTGCTTGAGAAATATTTTGTTGAAATTTGAATTCTAAATGTTGAAAAAAAGCAAGGAAAGGTACATAATTTAGGTACTATTTTTAGAAGAAAGAAACATTTTCTCTTTCCTGAAAAATTTTGCCTTTTGGGGGTTTAAATCAGTTTGACAGCTTACCAACAATGGGGTGTTTTTCCGTCTCCACTTGTGACAGGTGATAGAACCCGCGGACCGGCTGGGCATGGCCGACATGGGGGATCTGAAGCGACACCCGTTCTACGAGGGTGTGGACTGGGAGAACCTGCCACAGAGCACCCCGCCAAAACTGATGCCCTACCTGCCCGCCACCGCCAACAACCCCGAGTTCTGGGGCCAGGACCACCGGGTAGGTTTCCGCTTTGGTTTGGACTGACTGTCGTGACTCGTGCGTGCATGCATGCATGGATGGATGGAGCTTTGGTTTGGACTGACTGTCCTGCATGGATGGATGGAGCTTTGGTTTGGACTGACTGTCGTGACTATCGTGGTTGTGCATGGATGGATGGATGGAGCTTTGGTTTGGACTGACTGTCGTGACTATCGTGCCTGCATGCTTGGATGAATCGATGGGTGGATGGATGGATGGATCTTTGGTTTGGACTAACTGTCGTGCCTGCTTGCATGGATGGATGGGGCTTTGGTTTGGACTGACTGTCGTGACTATCGTGGATGCATGGATGGATGGAGCTTTGGTTTGGACTGACTGTCGTGACTATCGTGCATGCATGGATGGATGGAGCTTTGGTTTGGACTGACTGTCGTGACTATCGTGCATGCATGGATGGATGGATGGATGGAGCTTTGGTTTGGACTGACTGTCGTGACTATCGTGCATGCATGGATGGATGGATGGATGGAGCTTTGGTTTGGACTGACTGTCGTGACTATCGTGCATGCATGGATGGATGGAGCTTTGGTTTGGACTGACTATGGTGACTGTCCTGTATGCATGCATGGATGGATGGAGCTTTGGTTTGGACTGACTGTCCTGTATGCATGCATGGATGGATGGAGCTTTGGTTTGGACTGACTGTCGTGCCTGCATGCATGGATGGATGGAGTTTGGGAAATTTCAGTCGTGTACATTGTCAAAAGGTGTTGTTGTGGGTGGTTGGCGGGTGCTCCGGTCTTTTCAGGTCTTCTCGGGTCTTCTCGGTAAAAATAAGTACCCGCTGTCAGTTGTTCTGTCTCAGTCTTGTATTCTTGTGCCAGCGAATGTTGACTTTGGGTATTCTTTTATCCCTCTCTCCTCCTTTCCTTTCTCTTTTATTTGTATTGCATGTGTGGTTTCCTATTGATGTGGTTCTCTCTCTCTTGAAAAAAAAAAAAAAAATCAATGTGCATGAAGCAAGTGGACATAGCATGTATCTGCATTGTGTTCCTCACACACAGTGGAGTCCTCTTAAACCCAAATCTGCGGAGCGTCCAGATTTTCTTTGGTTCAGCCGTGTTTTTGGGTTAAAGGTCTTGCTCAAATTAAGAAGAAAAAAGATGGGGGGTTCTGTTATCTGCTGCTTTAGGATTACGCATGTTGGGTTTCAGCGGACTTCAGTGCATTTCTTACTTTTTATTGTGGTTTAGTCTTCACGAAATGCTAATTGTTGTGCATGCTTCTTCTGTTGTTCCACAACACATCTTGTATGAATGCTTTGATAGACAACTGTATTGCTTTTTGTGAAGTATACTATGGGATGAAATGAAAGTGACTTTTATTATAAGTTGGGTTTTTCTCATGTGTTTCCGCAGTATGTCGTTTTCATGATATGTTTTGTTAAGTTTTGAAATAAAGACTTTATAGAAACTCCATGCAATGAGCTGTGATTTTAGACGTTTGTTGTTGTTTTTATTTGATTTTGCATGGCAACAGTTGCATCAGTATAGCTGATGTGTGTTATAAGCCATATCTATGCCTACTGGATACTGTCTAGAAGAAATATCAGTGTATTTACCCAGTTTCACTGACTCAAAATATAAATGCTAGGCTTTTAGCAATACCATCAAACAAACATGCATGTGAAGGCGTATGTGTGCTAGTTCTTGACTTCATCAAGGCGGTTGTGTCTCTCCATATTATCTTCTCTGCAATGTTCACAATTTCTAGGTGGGTGGTTGGCGGGTGCTCTGGTGTTATTTTGCTGCTTCTTTCCTTTCAAACATCTGTCGTCCTTATCTCCCCTTCTTCTTTTTTTCTGTCTGTTACTCTCTTGTAACACCTCTAATCTTCGGCACTTATATTACCTTATTGTGTTTCAAGTGTCGTAAAACTCTAAGACTAAAACAATTTCTATCATTCCGTGCGTAAGAAAAGCCCTATATTATAATCTCTGCCATGTTCCCAATTCCTAGTACTCTGTGCGTAAGAGAAGCTCTGCTGCTAGTAGTGTGGTAAGATGGTGTGTGTGTGTGCACTAACCCCGTAGTACTGCTCATGTTTAATACACACACAAATTGATTGATTGGATGATTGATCAATCATTGATTGATTGCTTGATTGCTGTGTCTGTTCACTCTTGAGGTTTGTGTTGATGGTTTGGTCACTTTGTTGTTCCACATATTATCTTGACCTGTGTTGTTTTGACAGAAGGTGATCGGAATCAGTTGTTTGTTTGTTTGTTTGTTTGTAGCTTTACTTTTCACCCTTTGATGTTTGCCAGTAGTTGATGTGGTTCACTGTTTGTACACATTTTCTTTTTACTTTGCCGTGATTGTTTTCTTTGGAAATGTAAGGCCGCATACTCATACTTTTTAACCCTACCAGTACGTCGTGTTTTAATATAGTATCCATACGAAGTGGGGAACTCTGCGCCACCTCTTTCCAAAGAGGAAATTTACTAGTTAAGCTGATCCATATGCTTTGCATAGCAGTCCAGCAAAATGATTTTTTGAGAAATACTGGAAGTTTCAAAGAGATCTTCGTACCAGAAGTATTCTAAAATATGAAGAATACAACCCCGGGGGCACAAAATGACCCCAGGGCGCATGGATGGGGTTAATACCGGCAGCACAGTAGTTGACAAGGGAGTCATCACGAATTATTGAAACCTGGTTTCAGAAATAAAATTAGCGAGAAAATGGCCCCCAAAGTTTGGTGACTTCCATAGCTAAAGAGTCCTTGGAAACTGCAGATTTACATTTTTTGTTCCTTTAATCAAAGTTTTTCCATTAAATCCAAACATAAAAGTGTTTTTGAATGAACATACGTGTTGAGCCAAAAAGCGAAAATTCAAAAGAAATTTCTAAACTGGCTGAAAAATGATTTCTCGGATTTCATTGTTTTGACGGTCGCCTGATTTCACCACGCTGCCTCACATATATTTCCCATGTAGACAGCAGTCTCCACCTGAGAGTAGACACCTGCTTCTTTTCCAGACAATGTACACATAGATTATAGAAAACACCTGTTTTACACAGGCATTTCTCTCTCTCTGTCTCTCTATCCATCTATTTATCTAGATTGTAGAAAAAACTTGTTTTACACAGGCATTTCTCTCTCTCTGTCTGTCTATCCATCTATCTATCTAGATTATAGAAAACACTTGTTTTACACAGGCATTTCTCTCTCTCTGTCTCTCTATCCATCTATCTATCTAGATTATAGAAAACATTTGTTTTACACAGGCATTTCTCTCTTTCCATCTCTCTATCCATCTATTTATCTAGATTATAGAAAACACTTGTTTTACACAGGCATTTCTCTGTCTCTGTCTCTGTATCCATCTATCTATCTAGATTATAGAAAACATTTGTTTTACACAGGCATTTCTCTCTCTCCATCTCTCTATCCATCTATTTATCTAGATTATAGAAAACATTTGTTTTACACAGGCATTTCTCTCTCTATGTCTCTCTATCCATCTATCTATCTAGATTATAGAAAACATTTGTTTTACACAGGCATTTCTCTCTCTCTGTCTCTCTATCCATTTATTTATCTAGATTATAGAAAACACTTGTTTTACACAGGCATTTCTCTCTCTCTGTCTCTCTATCCATCTATTTATCTAGATTATAGAAAACACTTGTTTTACACAGGCATTTCTCTCTCTCTGTCTGTCTATCCATCTATCTATCTAGATTATAGAAAACACTTGTTTTACACAGGCATTTCTCTCTCTCTGTCTCTCTATCCATTTATTTATCTAGATTATAGAAAACACTTGTTTTACACAGGCATTTCTCTCTCTCTCTGTCTGTCTATCCATCTATCTATCTATCTCTCTGTCCATCTATCCATCTATCTATCTATCCATCTATCTATCTATCTATCCATCTATCTATCTATCGAGCCCGCTTCCTCAAAGTTGTAAATTGTTGTTGATGGTGTTGTAAAAAGACGCCCTACATTTAACCTTTTTAATGGCTATTTCGCCTTGTGGGAACATGGTACCAGCTCTGTTCTTGAGACAAGTCCTTTGTTTTTAGTGTTGATATTTTGTTTTATGGAAGTGTCTACGTACTCCCCGATTGGGGTCTACGTAGTCATGGTGTCTAGGTGGACCCCAAAAATGTTGGATTGTGATTGCGAGCGGTAGTTTACATTGGTTACAATGCAAGGCTGCTAGGCCTGCTTACTGATCATCTCGGGTAGTATGTCTATCTTGTGTTACTATAATTAATTTATTTTAGCCAAGAGAGAGAGAGAGAGAGAGAAAAAGAGAGAGAGAGAGAGAGAAAAAGAGAGAGTATTTAATGAATAAATGTATCTAGATCTAGATCTAGATTTAGATTTTGTTGTGCACCCAGCAGAGAGTGTGCAGTTCGGTCTAGATTTAGATTCTAGATCTAGATCTAGATAGATCTAGATCTAGATCTAGATAGATCTAGATCTAGACATCTAGATAGATCTAGATCTAGACATCTAGATTAGATCTAGATACGTTTATTCATTAAATACTCTCTCTCTGGGCTAAAATAAATAAATTATAGTAACACTAGATCGACACACCGCCCGAGATGATCAGTAGCCTTGCATTGTAACCAAAGATAGTACAGCCTACCGTAGGGTTTAGTATCTTTGTTGTAACCAATGTAAACTACCGCGCGCTCAGCGAGCCTATCACAATCCAACAATTTGGGGTCCACCTAGACACAATGACTACGTAGACCCCAATTGGGGAGTACGTAGACACTCCCTTGTTTTATATATATATTTATGCTCAAGTTTTGGTTCTAGTTACCAAAACGCCTGCTTCAAATTTTGTTTTAGAAATTTTCTAGTCCATAACACTTTGCCATCATATTTTGGGGAAAGTCCAAAGAAACTGGGTGGTAAACATGGCCAATCGGCGAGACGAGGCGGCAGATTGTTAAATCAAATGTTCAGTTTTCTGCTGTTAGTCCCTGCAATAATGACTTCATTTTGTCTGGAAAAGGTTGGGATAATAGAATGAAGTAGGAATACACCACACTGCTGCCACTTGTAGCGATGGAATCATGAAGAAGGTTTATATTCTCCTCAAGGAATGATTACTTTGATAATTCCCCCTATAGTTTAATAAGTGCATGTGTGCTTTTTTAAAATGAAAGTGAAGCCTCTATAGTATCTTTTGCCTATATTCTTATATATATGTATATAGAACGCACCCATATAAATGAATTACCATAATGTACGTGTCATTTGTTTAGTTTGTTTTAATCTCGTTTTTTTCTGGGCCGTGTTATGTTCAAACTTCACATTTGTCTTTGTGGGTGGTTGGCAGCTGCTTTGATGTGGTTTGCTCCTTCTTTCCTATCAAACATCTCTTGTCTTTATCTTTCCTTCTTTTCTATCAAACATCTCTTGTCTTTATCTTTCCTTCTTTCCTATCAAACATCTCTTGTCTTTATCTTTCCTTCTTTCCTATCAAACATCTCTTGTCTTTATCTTTCCTTCTTTCCTATCAAACATCTCTTGTCTTTATCTTTCCTTCTTTCCTATCAAACATCTCTTGTCTTTATCTTTCCTTCTTTCCTATCAAACATCTCTTGTCTTTATCTTTCCTTCATTTCTATGTTTGTTGCTCTCTTCTAACACCTCTAATCTTTGGTGCTTATATGACCTTATTGTGTTGCAAGTGCCGTAAAACGCTTACTAAAACTGAAACATTTGTCTTTCAGACTGGCTTTGATGACCAGAGACTGGCAGAGATAATCACCGGGCAAGGAGTGGACGGCACGCAGTAAGAACATTTACTTCTGTTCGCGCTACCTTTTTTCGGTCTTTTAAAAAAAAATTTTTTAATTTATTTTATGAGGCGTGCTGACAAAATGAGTTACTTCTTGCAAGTTACAAATGGAGATTTTGGCCTAAAATCAGCATAATGGTTTAATTTGTATATTTTCTATTACCGCCACATTCTTTGACTATAACTTGTCTTTTATTATTTCATACTTATAAATTGTTAAAACTTCGGCCATAAGCGTGATGTATCTATTTCCTTAAGGCTTGAACCGGAGAAGTAACTCATTCTGTCAGCACGCTTCACATATGTTAGCTGCTGGGTATGATTTATATAAATACATTTTATCAAAAGGAAAACTCTGAGGTTGGTGACAGCATTCCTGTCTCTCTACAGACAGTGTCTTTCCTAGGTTGATGACAGCATTCCTGTCACACTACAGTGTCTTTCCTAGGTTGGTGACAGCATTCCTGTCACACTACAGTGTCTTTCCTAGGTTGGTCTCTGTCACACTACAGTGTCTTTCCTAGGTTGGTGACAGCATTCCTGTGTCTTTGTTCATGTTTTAAGACAGGTGATCCTCTTACACAGTGTCATAATCTAAAAAAAATATTATTTTTTAAAAAGCGAAAGGGAAGAGGTGATTTGTATAGGCGATTGTTTTATACAGATGGCCATTACAGCAGGTTTGATTATAAATTCTTTTAAGCCCCCCTCTCCTCTACCCTTCCCCCCCCCCTCCCCACTCGTGGGTGGTTGGCGGGTGTTCTGGTGTGGTTTGCTCCTTCTTTCCTATCAAACATCTATCGTCCTTATCTCCCCTTCTTCTTTTTATGTTTGTTACTCTCTTGTGACTCCTCTAATCTTCTGGCGCACATGTGACCTTATGCAGTTGCGAGCGCCGTGAAACCTCTACTAAAACTAAACCTCCCCCCCTCTCCCTTCTCCCCACCCCTCTCCCCTCTTCCCCCCTCCCTTCTCCCCTTTCTCCCCACCCCTCCACCCCCCTCAGATCCCCGGAGCTGGAGGAAGTGGTGCGAGCCCCCAGCCAGGTGGAGGAGGACGCGCGCAAGGAGAAGCTGGCCAAACAGCGGGCGGAGAACCCGTTCCACCAGTTTGTGGAGGACAACCTGATCCTGCGGCAGGGCTTTGTGGACAAGAGAAAGGTGGGGCTGCGGGTGATACATGGTCGCTTTTAAGGACAAGCGGGCTAACCCAGGTTTCGGGGGTTTCCTGATATCTTGACCGACACCAAAAGTGGGCATTGCCCTACCTGTAGGAGAAGTTTGGTTTCATTGGTGTGTATATTTGTTTGGTTATAGAGAAAACTCTCCTTGTTATTTAAAGCAACTGAACTAGGGGTAAAAACTTTAAAGAAAGCAGACGACAGGACTTAGCTAGAGAGCAGGAGAGGAGGTGAAAGGAGACGATTTTAGAGAAGAAAATTTTTTATTTGCTACTCGGATTCGAACACGGGACCTTTGAATGAGAGGCGAACACCTTAACCTCTAGGCCACGAGAGCCCCCATGGTGTAGTTTGGACTGTCAACCATTTTATATCAGTAACGGTATAAGGAAACCTCGGCTTTGTCAGAAATACGCACACACATCAGAATATTTAATTGTGTTTGTGAAAGATGATTGATGATCTTCCACTGTGGTCACTTCTTTGTGTTGATAATGTGTCCAGTGTGGTCACTGTGTGATTCATGATTTTGTTTCCCCATGTCTGTCCCAGGGTTTGTTCATGATGTTGTTTCCCCATGTCTGTCCCAGGGTTTGTTCATGATGTTGTTTCCCCATGTCTGTCTGTCTGTCCCAGGGTTTGTTCATGATGTTGTTTCCCCATGTCTGTCTGTCTGTCCCAGGGTTTGTTCATGATGTTGTTTCCCCATGTCTGTCTGTCTGTCCCAGGGTTTGTTCATGATGTTGTTTCCCCATGTCTGTCTGTCCCAGGGTTTGTTCATGATGTTGTTTCCCCATGTCTGTCTGTCTGTCCCAGGGTTTGTTTGCCCGGAAGCGCATGCTGCTGCTGACAGAAGGCCCCCACTTGTACTACGTGGACGCCCACAACAAAGTGCTCAAAGGAGAAATCCCGTGGTAAGAGCTCTTTTGGGGTTAGAAGAGAGTAGGTACCAGCTACCAATGACTTTTGCGGGGTTTTTTACTTTACTTTCTGTGGGTGGTTGGCGGGTGCTCTGGTGTGGTTTGCTTCTTCTTTCCTATGAAACGTCTATCGTCCTTATCTCCCCTACTTCTTTTTTATGTTTGTTACTCTCTTGTAACACCTCTAATCTTCTGGCGCTCATATGACCTTATGCAGTTGAGAGCGCCTTAAAACCTCTACTAAAACTAAAAATTTTCACTAGTCTCATCTTGTGATGTTTAGCACCTTCCTGAGACATTTCATTTGGCATGCTGTGATCTTTGTTTGCTGCTCTGAGAGCTGGTTTGTGGATCACTGTTAAACATTTGTATACATCATAGTCACATAGTACTACCAGGGTCGATGCCACTGACTGAAGTGTCTTTAGGCTATTCCCAAAGGGGGGGACATTTCTCGTTCATGCACAGTAGAATTGTAAATGGGTTGATTCATCAATGTCACGCTCATAACTGTGCCTGATCTACAACAGGGAACTGCTGCTTTTTCTTTCCTAATCCTTACTATTGTCATTTTCCTCTACTTCTTTTGTATGTTTGTCACTCTCTTGTGACCTGCTATTTCCGGCGTGCCTTGAAAGTCGAAGCAGACCATGTGCTGTTGAAGCTAGAGAGGTGAGCAGTCTAAGTCTGAATTCCCTGTAAAGACTTCTCTGTTGACACCCACCCCTTGGCGCTCATATGACCTTATGCAGTTGCGAGCGCCGTAAAACCATCTACTATAATAAAAAAAAATTTTTAAATACCCTTCTTCTTATTTATATTTGTTACTCTCTGGTAACAACTCTAATCTTCTGGCGTTCATATGACCTTATGCAGTTGCGAACGCCTTAAAACCTCTACTAAAACAAAACATTTTCACCTGTCTCATCTTGTGATGTTTTGCACCTTCCTGAGACATTTCATTTGGCATGCTGTGATCTTTGTTTGCTGCTCAGAGAGCTGGTTTGTGGATCACTATTGAACATTTGTATACATCATAGTCACATAGTACTACCAGGGGGCAAGAGAGGTTTGTATATATATGGGAGCAGGGGTTGCTGCTGTTTCTCTTTAAGTTCTTGTGGATATGCTGCTAGCTACTTTTTTTTTTTTAGTAGAGGTTTTACAGTGCTCGCAGCTGCATAAGGTCATATGAGCACCAGAAGATCAGAGGTGTTACAAGATAGTAACAAACATAAAAATTAAGTGGAGATAAGGACTATAGATGTTTGATAGGAAAAAAGAAGCAAACCACACCAGAGCACCCGCCAACCCCCCACACTAACTACTTTGGTGTTTTTGCTGAACTATGAAAAAAAATTATCGTGGTTCAAATCTCCTGTGAGGCAGTCTTGAACTTGGGTTTAGACTTCGATTGATGGAGAAGTTTTCAAGGCTGTCCTCCACTTGCTTGGTCTTGGGTGAAAATAAACTTGAAATATTGAAGTCTCCCGCAGTGTTTGATCAGGGCATTAAACCCATACCTACCTTATGCAGTAGCAAGCGCTGTAAAACCATTACTAAACTATAACCCGTGCCAAACCATTCCCTCACTTCCTGCTGACCTGTGACCTTCTCTGTGTAACTTTTGTGGGCTCATAATAGTGTAAAATCTCTGTAGTATCGGATACTTACATATATCATTTTAAATGTGAGATGTATATTTATATAGATGCTGTTTTTGTTACTAATTTATTTTGGTCTTTTTCTTTCTTTTAGGTCCAAAGAACTTCGCCCAGAGGCCAAGAACTTTAAAATCTTTTTCGTGCACACGGTGAGTAAATGCACTGAGCGACTGACACTGAGCAAACCAGCATTGTCTCTCTCTCCTTTGGTAAATAAATACAGTGAGTAAAAGTATCGCCAACCTCTTTAAAAAGTTGTTGAGTTGTTTTCACCAGAGGAAAGGCTACAACTAAAATATTTGTATTCTCACCCTCAATACGTAGTGTGCCTGGAGACTGATTACTTTACTTAGTTTTGTTGAAGAAACCAAATTCATTTGAGGATAAATAAAAGTTTAACTTTAAACAAAATGTTTTGCAGATGTAGGTTTCATTTTGTCTAGAAAGATTATTTGCTTTTATATTTGTTTTTCCATGATCATAAAAGTTCCTGTGGTTGTTTCAGCCGAACCGGACATACTATTTGGAGAGCAGACATCCCGACGCCCAGCTGTGGGTGAAGAAGATCCAGGAGGTGTGGAAGAAATACTACGATGCCGACAGCTAGCGACATGACGCCCACCGTGATGACAGTCAGTGGCGTAATGACGACCGTGGCGCGCACAATGGCGGCACAGGTGGCGACAACAACGACTGTTATGACAGCCAGGGACAAGATGCAACATCCAGGTGCTACAGTCAGCAGTTGATGACACGACAGCATTACAGTCTACAGTCAGCAGTTAATGACATGACAGCCTAACAGTCTACAGTCAACAGTTAATGACACAACAGCATTACAGTCTACAGTCAGCAGTTGATGACACGACAGCATTACAGTCTACAGTCAGCAGTGAATCACACAACGGTTAATGACAAGACAGCATTACAGTCTACAGTCAGCAGTTAATGACACGACAGTGTTTCAGTCAACAGTTAATGACAAGACAGCATAACAGTCTACTGTTAACAGTTAATGACAAGACAGCATAACAGTCTACAGTCAACAGTTAATGACATGACAGTGTTTCCATCAACAGTTAATGTCATGACAGTGTTTGAGTCAACAGTTAATGACATGACAGCATAACAGTCTACAGTTAACAATGTTAAGGCTCTACAGACAAAACTAGTGATTCGATAGCGCTAAAGACGACAGCCAGTGACATGATGGTACTGCTATCAACAGTTAACGACATGACAGAACTACCGTGAACGGTTTATGACATGACAGTGCTGCACTTAACAATGTATAGCACGGCAGTCAACAGTTAACAACATGTCAACAGTTAACAAGGTATCAACACTACAGTCAACAGTTAACAACATGTCAACAGTCAACAGTTAACAACATGTCAACAGGGCGGTCAGCAGTTAACAACATGTCAACAGTTAACAACATGTCAACAGGACAGTCAACGGTTAACAACATGTCAACAGGACAGTCAACAGTTAACAACATGTCAACAGGACAGTCAACAGTTAACAACATGTCAACAGGACAGTCAACGGTTAACAACATGTCAACAGTCAACAGTTAACAACATGTCAACAGTTAACAACATGTCAACAGTCAACGGTTAACAACATGTCAACAGTTAACAACATGTCAACAGTCAACAGTTAACAACATGTCAACAGGGCGGTCAGCAGTTAACAACATGTCAACAGGACAGTCAACAGTTAACAACATGTCAACAGGACAGTCAACAGTTAACAACATGTCAACAGTCAACAGTTAACATGTCAACAGGACAGTCAACAGTTAACATGTCAACACCACAGTTGGCAACACAAAGGCTGTACAAACAACCTGATGCTTTCTTTGAATGGATGTGGATGCACTACAAACAACAGCAAACTGTGTAGGGGTACAACACAAACATGTGTTACTTGCCTGCATACGTGCGTCTGACCCTCGCTGTTCGGGCTTGATACTGAGCAGCAACAGCAAGTGCTAGTGTCGATTTCTCATTGGACAATCATGGATATATATGGCTGTTGTGTTTTCCCGCCTGGAGTTGTCGCGTACTCACGCCTGTGGTTCATCTGACAGTAGAATGGGCTTTCATTGGTGTCGGTGACTTCGGTCTGTGGTCAAAGATGCTACGACGTGTTCTGGTGAGAGGCTGAGGATAGGGGTCGCCTCCGGTTGGAACCCGCGGAATTCGTATTTTGTTTAAATGACATACGTGACCTGAAGCTTTCATTTTATGAATGTGGATGCTCTTTTAACAAGATAGCTGAATGAAAGCCGTATGGGCCTATTCTTAGAAATAGCAATAGTGTTGATTTAGTTTATAGAAAGAGTTGTCTTTATGACATGAGACGGAAGTACAGGAGTTCGTTGATGGTAGATAGAATGAGAAATGAATGACCTCACTGTGCCGCAGAACTCTCCCTTTTTGGTTTTGGTTTGGAATTTGCAGCTTTGGGTTGCGTCTGTGACGACAAGGCTGCTCCAGGATCGTTTCTTGGCTCAACAAATGTGTCGAAGGTTGAGGTTTGGACCTGGGACAGTTTAGTTTGGGTTTTTTTTGTTTCTGTTATGGAGGATCCTCTCAACTTGGTGCTCTGATAGGGGATCTAAACGCCTCTTTGAAATGGCTTATTGTGTATGTTGCAGTAATAGTCTTTTATAGATAGAGGTCTAGGCACGTGGCTCTCATCTGCTGGTTTAGGCCTCTTGTTTCTTTTTTTTTACCGATTATTTTTGTTGTTTTCCACTTTTGGGTTTTTTTCTATGTATCATCACTGTCAAATTATCCTTAAGAAAATGAGTAGCGTCAAATGGTTTTTCTTACTCTGTTATTCAAGTCAAATTGTGTTGAGCATATTTTTTCTTTCTTTTTTTATATATATATATATAACAGCAATGTGGACTCGTTTCTAATTAGTGTTTTAGCTTCCAGTTTCATTTTTTTATGTCTGTTCTTTCTTTTCTTTTTATCCATCAGTCTTAAAGTTTTGTACAAATATGTTTTGTGTTACATATTCTCCATATTATGACTTCATGTTTCACTCCCTATAAAATCCTCTTCAGTGATTTCTAAAAGACGAGTGATTTACTCACATAGGAGAGTGATTTACTCACATAGGAGAGTGATTTACTCACATAGGAGAGTGATTTACTCACACAGGAACTTGTAGACTGGCATGTCTCCTCATGAGCATTGTTGGCAGAGAGATTGATGCAGTGGTGTCTGTCTGTGGATGGGAGTGGGTTGGGAACGTCTGTTTGACATTTCTTGTTGCTGTTTCTCTTGCCTTTTGGTCGCTTTTAAGGGGGCTATCCCGATATAATAATATATTAATGCTGTTTTGAGAAAATCGAAGGTAAAGTTTTTGCCCCTTCTTCAGTTTCTTTAAAAGACAAGAAGAGTTTTCTCTATAACCAAACAAATGTACACACACCAATGAAACCAAACTTCTCCTATGGGTAGGCCAATGCCCACTTTTGGTGTAGGTCAAAATTTCTGGAAACCCCCGAAATCTGGGTTAACCCGCTCGTACTTAAAAGCGACCATTTGTTCTATGGGAAAAGGAGTTGGAAGCTGCCATTGGCATGAGAAAACAAGAGAGTGTGTGAAAAAGATTCATCTGTCCTTAGTTGTAATGTCCGATATGTTGAAACATTTTGGGTCATTCTTCAGCTTTGTGGAATTGATGGTTCCCGAGTTTTGTCTTCATGCCAAGACACAATTTGAATCACTTACTGTTCCTACTCAGCTGTGTTGTTAGGAAAGAAATGAAATGTATTTTATGTTGGTCAGACTAAATTACATTCTTGTTTCTTTTTTTATGGCATTTTCTATCCATTTTTGACATGACTATCCATTTGTAAATAATTATAATGATTTATTCATGTTCTAAATTGTAAATAACTTAACATATAATTGTGTGTGTGCCTAAAGAAAGTAATAAAACAGTCTGATTTTAACTATTTTGAGTTCAGGGTTGTACCTAATAGGACATTCAATGCTGAACACAGTGGGTTTTTGAATTTTGAAGATATCTCAAGTAGCTTTTCAGATATTGCACATTTTGTGAGGTAGGGTATAAAGTTGTAATTTTGAGAAAATTAGCTTTTAAGTTTAAAACACATAAAAACTTGAAAAAAAATTATGATTCAATTGTTTCTAATGTTCAATTTGACATTCAGTTGACATCAATGTCATGATTAGAATTCAATGGTAAAACATAGTGGTGAAGAGAAAACATGCTTCAAGAATAGATTTTAACACCTTCTAAAAGCTGTTTTCTTTATCTCTTTAAAAAATATCCTAGTCTCAAAATTATTCAAAATACAATATTTTGAAGTCAAATCAATGAAATCCCTTTTAACACATTGTTAAAAATAGTGGAACTATCTTTTTTTTAAGGAAACACGTTTTGGTAAAAAAAAAAGTGACTTTTTGTCATTATAATGTCATTATGAGCCTGTAGCTCAAAATAGTCTGTGGCGACTTTTGGTACCTTTCTTTCGGCACACACGCATATAATAGTTGATGTGATTGTAACTACAGTGACCTTGACTGCATGTTCTCCATACAGACGGGGAAATATTTATTCACCATACCTCATGCTTAGCTTTGCTCTGGCTAGTAAAAGTGATGATTTTTTTTTTTATTATTGTAATGCTGTTGCTCATATGATCACCATATCCTTGATGTCTTTCCGAAGTCTCTTGTGACACAGGGTAGTTATTTGTGCTGGTGGCTGTGGCTGGCCCTGTCTGTGGCCCTGTCTGTGGCCCTGTCTGTGGCTGGCCCTGTCTGTGGCCCTGTCTGTGGCCCTGTCTGTGGCTGGCCCTGTCTGTGGCCCTGTCTGTGGCTGGCCCTGTCTGTGGCCCTGTCTGTGGCTGGCCCTGTCTGTGGCTGGCCCTGTCTGTGGCTGGCCCTGTCTGTGGCCCTGTCTGTGGCTGGCCCTGTCTGTGGCTGGCCCTGTCTGTGGCCCTCCCAGCTTCCGTACAATGTACAACGACATACAGCATGTCCTCTGAACCTCACTACTAATGGGTCTTGGGCCCTACGTGGTGTTCAACGTACATCATTCGCTTCTCGAAGTGGTAAACAGTAAGATAAGATAAGATGATACTTTATTAGCCGAGAAAAATTCCCCTTTGGGATAATAAAGTATTATCTTGTCTTATCTTATCTTAATTTCCTCCCGACGCTCCTCATTAAATTATGTGATCTTTGCTTGTTTCGATTTTTCTCTTTTCGTTATGTGTCTTGCACAACCAACACTTCTGGCATGCCTGGAAGCTGCATATATATTATATACGTTATTGTATTGACCGGACGGCTTGTCCTCATTTCTGTTTTCATCTCAAGTGACATTAACTCAGAGTGGGTGGTTGAGGGGAGTTGTGGTGTGGTTTGCTCCTTCTTTCCTATCGAACGTCTGTCTTCTCCTTTTTTTCCTTTTGTTTTATAACACCTCTGATCTTCGGCATTTGCAGGTGGTTGGCAGGTGTTCTGGTGTGGTTTGCTTCTTCTTTCCTATTAAACATCTCTATCGTCATCTTCCCTCCTTCTTTTTTGTGTTTGATACTCTCTAACACTTCTAATCTTCGGCACTTATATATATATATGAACTTATTTTGTTGCAAGTGCAGTAAAACTCTTACTAAAACTAAATAAACTAAGCGGACTCTGCCTGCTAGGATGCTAATAACCTATGGCTAAGTCCAGAGAAGTTTCAGGCCATACCCGTCTATAGCTTT